AGAGACCTAGTGTAAAACCAAATACTACTTGTAAAGAAAACAATTTGTAACAATAAAGTGACTCCTAATGATATCAAAGATTTTTTACTACAGTCGTAGATTGGCATCTGATTCAGACTTCAGCAGAAATCCTTCTTTCAGCAGGTGGGAGTAAAAGTACAGAGACAAACAGCTAGACATTAAACCAGAAGAACAGTAACATACAGTTCTAAATGGGATGACTCAATCCAATCTCTCTCTCCAGAGTTCAAGGAACCCTTAGAAAGAGGAAGTAGAAAGACTATAAGGGTCATCAGAGATGGCAGACCCCAGGATTTGAAGGCTGTTGACTCAACAAAGCCAAAGTTCTATGAAGTCACAAAGGCTGAATTTGGGCCCACCATAGGTCTGTTACTGCTTCTTTGAGTATATATTATACTTTTCAGTCTAGTAGTTTTATGAGGCTTCTGAGTGTTTGAACAAGATGGCCTCTGAATCATGTGCCTTCTCTTAGGACTCTTTCTTTTGATGATTAACGTTATTCAAATTCAGTTTTATGACTTTTGTTTTTGCTAATTAAGTTTTATTTTACTAAGCTTCATTTTTACCTCTTAGAAGCATATTTTTATGACAAACAGGAAAGTAGTGGATCCAGAAAGGTGAAGAGGTGGGAAGGAACAGGAAGGTATACAGGGAGGAAAAATACAATAAATTATACATATTGGTATAACTTGTTAGGATGAGGAGTTTATTTTTAATTGGACATGTTAATTAGGATACTCAAATGGGACATTGGTTGATTGACTGTTTGATTGATTTTACAATCTAGATGCTGCCCTCTCCCCTGGTCTCCCATAAACAAGCCACTCCTTCTTTTCCCTTCCCTTCTCCTCTGAGAGGGTAGGGCCCCATTGGATATCTCCAAAACCTGGCTTATCAAGTCTCTGCTGGGTTAGGGGCATCATGTGCCACTGATGCCAGGCAAGAGAATTGATTCCAAGACAGGAAGCAACTTTAGGAACAGCCCTGAATCCTGTTATTAGGGGACACACATGAAGATTGAGCTACCCATTTGATATATATGTGTTGGGGGCCTTGGTACAGTCCATGTTTGCTGTGTGGTTGGTGTCTCAGTCCCTGAGAGCTGCTGCAATTGTAGGGTGCTTGTCATCGCAGATCTCTATGATTCAGACCTTTTATCTGGTTGGTCCTTTTCAGTTTTTCTAAGCAGAGTTTTTTCTCTTTCTTTTTTCTAATTATCCATTGTTGTTAATGCAGGCCTAATTCAGCACTAAGTTCAAAATGGTTTGAGCTTCGAAGGATGAGACAGGGCCTGATCTACTTCAACATTTTAGTTATTGATATCAACAGTCTTATTCCTATGTACAATACTGTGTATTTTTTTTACTCTATTTAACAAGATAGGGTGAGTGATTTGCCCTCTGAACATAGGTGCTCTGCCCCAAGTGTAGCCTGATACAGACAAGAAAGAGCCTGTTGTCTCCTGTCATTACCTTTTTAGAAATGGGAACTTGTAGAGCTGGATCCAACTAAACCAAGGAGAAACCTGGCTTTGAGAGTGATATTATAGTTATAGTGGAACAAATTAAAATCACTGATGCATAAATCATTATCCCCAGGTAAAGTAAAGCCATTTACCCCTTAAGCTGAGCTGTGTGAGCCCTGAAATTACAGGGATCAGTTTTTTTTTTTCTTAAATCAGACTGGGCAACTTCATCGTAAGCCATGAAAAACCTACCTGCATGGGAACTCATGAACAGCAGGGGTCACAATGAGACAAAAAATCCCCATAGAGAGATCAGCTGTGTGTGGAGTGTACTCTCTGTCTTCTGTGGTTTCCTTTCTTAAGTGTATTAACTGATCTGCCCACCTGTGATTGGCATGTGATATCTCCATGCTGAAAAAAGTCAAACAAACAAAGATTCTTTGTTAAACACTTCACAGACTTATATTTCCTTGTGTTTATTTGCTTTTATAGTTTTCCAAAAAATTCACAAAATGTATTCTGATAACTCATTCCTTCTTCCCAAACTTATTCTAGATTCTTCCTAACTACCAATTCACCCAGCTAACACATCTTTTTTCTTTCTAAAAAATAAAAAAGAGAAAGAGGAATAAAAACGAACAAAACTAAACAAAACAAACTAAACACACACACAAATACACACACACACTTACAAAAACAAACAAACAAACAAACAAACAAACACATATAACAAACATGGAAACCAGTAAAACCACAATTCTGTACCTAAGACACATAGGCAAAACTTAAGTGATATAGAATTGAAGATAATATTAGAAAAAATGTCTGCAAAAATATCATTCAGTTCATTTTCTTGTTGACTACCAACTGCTAAGTATGTCTTTCATGATTAATTGTGCCAAACAGCCCCTTTGAACTCCACTGGAGAAAACTAATTTTTCCTTTGTATCTGAATGTCAGTTCCAGAACTTCTTGGTTAGCAGTGATAGCCCATGTCCATTTCCATCTCCCAAACTTGAGGATTTATCTGGGTTGTCTTGAATCAGGCTCTGTGCCTGTGGCCACAGTCTCTGTGAATTCTTATGTGCATCAGTCCAATTGTGTATGGGAGACACTCATTCTTTCAAGTCATCCACGCCCTCTGGCTCATATAATCTTTTCAATCTTAAAACTTTTTCTCTTTATTTTTGTCTCTGTTATGTGTTATCATGTTTGAGAATTCCTCAAACACTACTATCCGAATTCTAGTCTTCCTGCTTCTATAATTTAATATACCCCCCAAATTCAAATCTTGGAACACATATAAATGAGAACATGAAGCACCTGCTTTACAGACAGGGGTGATCTACTTAATATATTTTTTTCCAGTTCCAATGAGACACTTATATATCACATAATTTTTTCTACCACTGTGTAATATTCATTTTTCTATATCAACCACTTTGTCAGGTTTTATTTATGCTTTGTTGGAAATCTGGGATGATTCCTTCCCCTATATGCTGTAAGTAGAGCATGAATAATATGCTGGTGAATAAATATGGATCTATATAATAGTATCTCACTTGTATTGCTAAGGGTCATGGTGTCAAACTGCCTTATGAATATTTAGGTTTATACCAAATATATTGTCTGATCATTGATCACAGAGCCTCATATTTGCTGTGTGTAAAGACTGATTCAGACATTCATGAGTGGTCAGAGTTCTGAGAATGATTGACAGAGTACTCAGTCACAGATGAGTAATAATACCTACCTCTCACCCAAACATCAAGGACCATCACAAAACAGGGAAAAGAATATAGAAAATGGAGCCAAAGGAGATCAAATTCAATCTCCAGAGATTTAAATGTTCTTATTGCACAATGAACTCTCAGTAGCTATATTTACCAGCATAATATACACACATAAATCCAGTGAAAATTACCACATGAGAGACCTCTAAATGGTTGAGTAGATAAAGCTGTCTAGTTGCAAGCTCAGTAATATCAATCAAATCCTTTAGAATAGAATTATGTAACTCATCCTCTGAGATTAATACATCCAACTTGGTGCATGTGTAATCTGTTCTCATCACAAAAATAATATAACAATTAAAAAAATTACAACATGAATGGGTAGGAACCCTGAAGGCCCACACCAAGCTGAAGGTCTCTTGAAATTTGATAACTGAGAGTCAAAATATATTCACTTTTTTGGAAGATTTCTGGAGATTTACTATTTACTTGTGATGACTCTATGTGTATATAGGTAGCAGTAAGCAAACTCACTGTATTATGTAATGAAACAGAGGAAGTAGGATGTTGGGAAAGAGACTTATTGGAAGGTCCCAAGGGGAACCACAAGGACCAAGTGGTGGAAGATTGTAGTGAGAGTCCTGAGAGTAAAGGTGGATGATAGCATATTTCATATATGTTGAAAAACTTGAAAAATAAAAATCGTTAGGAAATATAGAAATAACAACTTTATATATGTATGGATTTTTCACATGCATATTTTGTACACTATGCATATTTCTCCTGTCACTTCTTGTCCCTATTTTCTCTTTATTCTATTAGACAATTTCACTGATACAATATCATGTATTTACATAAATAGTTGTATATAACTATGAAATTAATAAGAACTACTAAAAAGAGTCTTATTTAATGTATGTGATTTTGTGACTGTCTTTATTAATACAGTTACCGCTAATTACATACATTTTTTCAAAAGAAATGTAAATTTCTTATTTATTTCTGGTTAAAAATTCTGATCTATATCTATATCATCTATATCTATCTGTATCTGTATCTCTATCTATCATCTATCTATCTATCATCTATCTATCTATCTATCTATCTATCTACCTATCTATCTATCTATCTACCTATCTATCTATCATCTGGTGTGTGTGTGAGTGTATGTGTATTATTTATAATATATATAAGCATACCTTGTTGATAAAATCATTTCTTGACATATATATTGCTTATTGCTATAATTTAGTTATTGACGATCTTCCTGCAATAATCATTGATAGGCAGATACTTTTGAAGCACATTTACTTTTAGTCATTTTCCTGAGTTTTGAAGTATATTACTCTTTGGAAAGGCAAATGTTAATTGCATGTATGAGAAAGAAGACTCTAAAATTGTAAAAAGTAGCAATTTTTGGAATTTTCTATCATCATCATCGTCATTATCAGTAAGCTTTATGTGTAAATCAACCCAGAGTGAAGCAACAGACTCAGGCCAAAAATCGATTGAGAGATTCGTTCCTGAAGTTTTGTCCATAATATCAGCTCAGGGTTCACACAGAAAGTATAAGGGATGCACTTCTTCAGAGAGGAATATGATTTGGACCTGAGCATCCTGCCGCCTAACCCGTGTGTCTTTTCAGTCCTTCCTATCCAGTTCTTCTCCATAGGTCTAGGTCCTTACGTAAGAAGTCCCTGGTGGTGAATATGCAAATTAACCAAGTCTATGGCAGTAAATACAGGGATGTCTACACCCTGAAAACAACATATGACCAGTGTCCTCTCCATAGTCCCTGAACACACTGCCTCTAAGCATGGAATGGAGCTGGGTCTTTCTCTTCCTCCTGTCAGTAACTGCAGGTAAGGGGCTCCACCATTTCCAAATCTGAAGAGGGGACAGGGCCTGAGGTGACAGTGACATCCATTCTGCCTTTCTTTCCACAGGTGTCCACTCCCAGGTTCAGCTGCAGCAATCTGGAGCTGAGCTGGTGAGGCCTGGGGCTTCAGTGAAGTTGTCTTGCAAGGCCTCTGGCTACACCTTCAAAGACTATGTTATGAGCTGGGTGAAGCAGAGGCCTGGACAGGGCCTGGAATGGATTGGATATATTGATCCTGAATATGGTAATACTGCCTACAATGAGAAGTTCAAAGGCAAGGCCAAACTGACTGCAGACACATCCTCCAACACAGCCTACATGCAACTCAGCACCCTGACATCTGAGGACTCTGCAGTCTATTACTGTGCAAGACACAGTGTTGTAACCACATCCTGAGTGTGTCAGAAAACCTGGAGGGCCAGAAAGGTGCCCTGAGACTGAGATGACAGAAAACTTTTAGACTTGGTCAGAAATAGTAATTTTGAGTGTCCATTTATTGTCTCCTCTGCACAGTCCTGTAGTGCCTTTGTTATAGTTCTAAGAGGACATCTAAGAATGAAGTGATGCTGATTTATGATAAGCCTACTGTACACCATACCTTGCCAATCTCTTCTACAGTGACCACTTCCACTGATGTGTTTCTTATTCAATAAAACAGGGAAAGGTGTGATTATGCATGATAAAAACATCACTCGATTCTGAGAGACCAGAACCTTAGTTGAAATTGTTGGGAAGAAAGGATTATATGAATTTGACCTATAAAATCTAAACCACCAACATCTGGGTAAACAAACAATCCTTTATCGTCTTAAGTAATAAGTGACCTCAGCTGTGTTGTTAACTCCTGCTTTATGTTCCAGCAGAAGCTCCAGTCTCTTAGAATGTGAGTAATATTTATATCAGAACGTACAGGTGTATAAATATATGTCAAATTGTTTGGTCAAAACTATTATTAAATCACTTTTCATCAAACTCCTTTACCAATCAATGTATGTTGTTAATTGAGGTAGGTTCTAAGATTACACATAATTGTTTGGTCCCATATTTACTTCCTTCCCAGTTTTAGTAGTCATCCCTACAGTCATGAGACCTTTCAGAAGATGAACCTATATTGATACAGCATTGACTCTCATAGTCCATTGCATACTTGTTGCTCAGCTTTGTTCTATAGAGTATTTGAGAACTTGTGATTCTGCATCCACATGTGTTTCTTGTGCTTTGTTTTCGGTGTCATTTGTTCTATTTGTTTTGTCCTATTCCCATTTGTTTGCTTTTCCTTTATCCTGTAATGACCCGTTCTGTCCCACGATTGGGGCCCACTATGTCCCGGCCTGAGCTGTTGCTCCAGTCTGTGGGTCAGGGTCTAGCAAGAGAGAGAGTGGGGATGGAAGGGCAAGAGGCTCGAAGAATGAAGACAAGACAGTGAGTCTGTTCAAGTCCCATTTATTGAAAGGAAATCATGGGTATATATAAGCACAAGCAGGGACATGCAGCTGAAGACACTTTACCACATGCACCTTGCAGCTGGGGGCATTAAACAACAAAACAAGATATGTGAGAAAAACAAGATGTTTATCACAGAATGCTCAGCTGTTGTAGGCTATTGAAAACAAGCCTCTTGTCAGGGTATATGGCCTGAGATGGCTGCAAAGATGATAGCAGCTTTCTGCTAGGAGTTGGCTCCCAACATTATCCTACTTTGTTTTTCCTTTTTATTAGGTTTAGGTTCTGTTAGTATTCTAATTTTATAAACAGAATAGAGCTGGGAGAAGATCTAGAGGATGTTGTGGAATGGAAACCAGTAATCAGAACATATTGCATGAAGCCATCTATTTTCAATAATACATAGAAATAATTGTAAAATATTAATATCAAAAATTTCTGTTAAGATACCCATTGTGTAAATTCCCCGTATGCTCAAAAGTCTCATGTCTTTGTTTAAATCTTTAAAGTGTATTCAGAAGCCAGTACTGAAAGAATTTTAGGATAAGGCATATGTAAAATGTGTAATGCTTAGGTGTAGTGAAGTACATAAGTAAAATATTTGGGGTTTAGCCTCTCTCAGTCTCTCAGTCTCTCCATCTCTCTCTGTATCTCTTTCTCTCTCTCTCTCTCTCTGGATGTGTGTGTGCATGTGTATGTGTATTTTAAGTTTGACATTTTACATTAGTAATTTCTAAGAGCACAGAGAGTATTACTTCTACTAGAATATCTTCAATTTCTTGAGGGCATCCCTGCAGGCATCATAGAAGGAAACAAATCATGTGAAGATGAGAATGAGAATGTGATGTAGATTGACTTTGTCAGCCTGGATTGGACTTTGAGGAGTCTGAGCACAGACCATTCATTGTAGGGTAATTATTTCAATATAATACTAGAATTTGGAAAAGAATCTCCATGCAACAATAAATTTCCACACTCATTCCAAATCCAGTTGCTCAGTAAAACTGAAGGTGTGGTCGTATAGAAATTCTTTAGGAAGTTCTTGTGACCACTCTCATCTCCTCTTACAGGGTGGGGGCATGATGGATATCCTCCAACACTGCTGCATCAAGTTGCTGTAGGGTTAGGGGGATTGTTTCCTGCTGAGGTCAGACAAGGCATTCTAGTCAGGGGAATGCATTCTACAGACAGGCAATAGCTTTAGGCATACCCCCACTCTAGTTGTTCGGGGATATCCAAGAAGACTGAACTATCCATGTGCTACATATGTCCTGGGGGCCTAGGTCTAGCCCATGTATGATATTTTGTTGGTGACTCAGTCTTTGAGAGCTCCTGTAGTTATGGTGTGATTCTCATTGAAGAAATCTAGGATGCAGATGACACATGTTCTTACAATGTCTCTACAACTCTACAATGTCTATAGTATCTATACATACTTTTTGTTTGTTTGTGTGTGTGTGTGAAAGAATATACGCTCTGACTAGACTCATATAGGAGGCAAACTCTTTCCACTGGCACACAGCAAGATGAAGGTAGGAGAATCATCAATGTTTTAAATTCTTCATCTGTCCTATATGCAAAAACACAAGGTAATGATCCCTGGGTGAGTGAAGAGTCAGGACCATTTTGCCCTGGCCCATGGGCAGTGAACTAGGATCCAGGCGACCTGGAATAGAGAACTGAAGGATAGGGGATGCAAAGAGTAAGTGGATTGTCTATGGTCTGATAAAACAGCTGATTTTAATTTTTTCACACAGTGGTTATATATACATAGAGGCAGGATGTGAGGAAGGGGATGACACAGGAGTGTAGGTGTTCTCATGGGAAGTACAGATATCTTCCAGAACAGAGTGTTGCTTTGGTAAAAGTTTCCAGAAGAAGTAGGGAACAGGTCATTAAGACTCTGTCTATGATTCATTTGTACTTATCTAAGCTGGTACTTTCCACCATGGCTACCTATCCACAAGGTCTATGACTATCCAGGCTGGTAGTTTTCCAACAAGGTTGCCTGTTTACAAACCTATAGCTATCTGTTCTAGGGTCAGTGCTTTCCCACAGAGACCACGACTTTGTGTTAGCAGGCATGTATGACTAACTCAGTCCCATGGCTAATTTTAGGCCTTAAGTGTATAAACAAGGCTGCTCCTGACACCCTTTATGTTAGAGTAAGTGTCTCTCTACGTCTTGCTACTTCTATACAGCATTTATTAGAAGTGTTTTATTCCCTCTCCACCCTCAGAGGACTGTTCATCTTGTCATCAGCAGGAATGGTGTAGCTATGCATTCTGATAGTAATACCTTTTACATTCTGAGAGCCTGGGACTTCTGCCAGACCACACAAGCACACTTAGCAAAACACCTGGAAGTCACTTAAGACTTAAGACACAGAAATGGCTTTTTGTTTTCTCAGAAGTTATTGGAATTTTACAGGTCAAATTCAATTTATTCCCAGCTATTCCAAAGCAGAAACCCATGGTTTAGGCATCTCGAACATATTGGAGTCTCCAAGGCAACTTCAATGTTACAATTTCTTGTTTAAATATCTGGGATTCACACATGGTCTTCTGGGCTCTCCTAAGGGCTGGTGTCACTTCTCTAGCTCTGCCCTCTGTAGCACTGTAAGCTCAGATTGATCTACTCCACTGTCACTGGTGTTCTTGGTGATCATCCCATTGTAATGACTTCTCCAAAACACTGTGGACTTCTGTTGGAACTAGGCTTCACCAATAGCCTCTCATAGGTTCTCTTCATTATGCCAAGCCTCAACTCCTTTGCATTACCCCTTCAGTCCAGGTCCATCAACTGCAACTCAGGCTGTTCCTTCACCAGTGGCCTTCCATGGCCTCTCACAGTGCCAAGACTCAGCTCTTCATGATTCTTACACGCCTTCAAAACAAGAAACACCTGCTTGACTCTTACACATTACCAGGTACAGGTGCTGCAGGAGCTACAACCTTGGCCATCTCTGAAACACAGTTTCTTTGTGCTCTCAGAAAACACTTTCCAGAAGTTTTCATGTCAGTGATTCAGGTCTCTTCTTAATCACCAATAATTTCTTAGTTCCAGCTAACCTACATCAATTGTCTCAGCAATCCCTTCTATTCTGTACTCTAAAGCCAGAGCCACACAGCTGAAGCTGCTGAGTTCTGCTGCTTGCTGGTGCTGGAACATGGCCACCTTGGTCTATTACATTATCATCAGCTTTCTGTTTTTCAACTTCTTCACTATGTAAGCTAGGCTGCCCTTAGACTTGATCTTAAGACTGACTATAAACTCAGAGATCTGCATACTTCTCTTCTAAGCACTTGGATTTATGGTATTGTCTACGAAGCCTGGATTTAAGTTTTTCTTGGCCTATAATGTGCCCTGAGAATACCTTGAACTTAGAGACCTATTTGTCTTTGCCTCCTGAAAGTAAAGGCTTGTAGTACCCTGCCTAGACCTAAAAGTAGCTGGGTGAGAACTTTCCCCAAGATCACTACTCCCTTAATTCAATTAAATATCCTTGAACATAGTATTGAACCTATTTCACTTCCTGGCACCCTTTTAATGCTTGAGCAATATATTTTAAATTTCCCCCTTTTTAAAGATTGGTATGTTTGTTTAAAATGCTCTTCATGAAACTTAAATAGAGAACAAACTCTATGATAGGTTTTTTTGAGACTTCCTTTGTCAGTGAAATTAATGAGTCTCCTCACCTAGGACTCAGGCAATCTCTTTAGACAAGGGCAAAACTTACACACATTTTTTAGCAAAATATCACAAAAACAATCTCTAGACCACATATTGAAATCCTCCTGCATTGAAATTCCCATAGGCCATGTCAGCATTGTTCAAATCATTCACAGCAACAAAGTTTTCCACATTCTTTCTAGAATAGCCCATTAAGTCCCACTTAAAGCTTTCCAATGCTTTCCAAATCCAAAGTCCCCAAATCTTTATTCTTCCAAACA